AAAAAAAAAAAAAAATAGAAAGACTGACCAAACCAAGCTCTTGGTGGGCTGAGGAGCTTTCAGGCACTGCTGGTGGGTGTGAAATGGGTAAGACCAGTTTGGAAAACCACCTGGCATTACCTGCTACAGCTGAACGTTTTCCACCCAAGCACACACCTGGCAAAAGGGTGCACGCGTGCACCAGGAGTCGCGTACATAGCAGCTGTACTCGTCACCTGGCGGGGCCTGGGGGGATCCCAGTAGCAGGATGAATGAATAAACGGGGGGGAATGCACACAGTGGAACGTTGTGCCACGGTGGAATCCACGGACGGCAGCCTGACGGCACTGTGGCCGTAGCTCCCGAGCACAGCCTGAGCCCAAGAAGCCAGACACAAGAGAGTACGCGGAGAGTGGCCTTTGTTCAGAAAAACTAGCAGACCCAGATGAGGGACGTGTGCTTAGACGATGAGACTTGAAAGGAATGTGAGGAACTGGGCAACATTAAAGAGCGGATCCTGGTCACCTCGGTGCGGGAGGGAAGGGGAGGTGATTGGGAAGGGGCAGGAGGGGGCTTCTGGAGTGCTCGCTTTTTTCCCTCGGCCTTGGGGTAGTTCCCCACATATCGCGTTGTGAGAACTGGTTGCTGTGCACTGTTGTTGGGGCAATTTTCTGTGGATGGATGGGTCTATATAGGTAGATCTTGCAAAAATACGTTTTGTTTTTTTTTCAGTAGCGCATATTACTGGCTCCTGTCTTGTGTTTTAGGAAAGCTTTCGTCTTTTTAAGAAAACATTTAACCTAAACTTTGAGGCACTTGGTCGGGACTCCCAGGGGTGCTGAGCTCACTGTGTTAACGTCGCTGCGCGCTGGGAGAGCAACGGGATGGAATTACCTCCCCCCGAAGGGACTCGGGCTCCCAGGGACCACTCTGCACGTCGGCACTGTCCGTGTAACCGACATTACACTGGGACATGCAGACACCCCACGGTGCAGAGGGCGATGGCGTGGGAGCTGCTGCCGAAAATCAGAGCTAGTCAGTCAGTGAGCCGATTGCACTAGGGAGTTTGAAAGACCAGTTTGACTCCGCTCTCCACTGTGACATTATAATGTTCTTATTTGCAGGAATGGAAAAGTGGAAAGAGGAAGGCTGAGAAAGATGAGCTGGTGGGAGTTATGATATTTTCCACCATGGAACCAGAGGCGCCTGACTTGGACTTACTAGAAATGTGAGAGCTCTTGTCACACCTGCCTTCTTCCCAGCCCGTGTCCCCCTCCCGTGCGTGCAGGCCACAGCCACAGTGCAGGGTGTGACCGTGATCGCGTGGGGGCCACGGTCAGGTGACCAGGAAGACTTCGTTTGCACGGGAAAGCACGGTCTTTCTAGCCATAGCATCAAAGTCTGCTTTGTTTTTACCTTGAAGTCCGTGGTTTCTTAGCTGACACGGAAATTTCTAGTTGTATCTAATACAGCACGATAAGACAAAGTAGCCCAGGGCCAGCGCACACCCACGTAACAGTCAACAAGGCAGAAGTCTCTGAACATTGCCTTGAAGGAAGCAAATCTCTAACCTGCTTTTTTGTGCTGTTTTTCAATTTGTTGTTTTTAATTATGTAATTTTTTTAAATGTAGGCTTGGTTGAAAATCAAGTAGTTCCTTTTCTATGTAAAGGCTAACAAGAAATCTTGGGGGTTTTGTTTGGTTTTTTTTAAGAAGTTTTTTCTTATAAAATTAAGAGAAGAAAAAAGAGGGCGCCTGGGTGGCTCAGATGGTTAAGCGT